AGAAGAGAAGAGGAACAAGGAGCAGAGCAGAGAAGAGGAGCACAGAGCAGAGAAGAGAAGAGGAGCACAGAGCAGAGAAGAGAAGAGGAGCATAGAGAAGAGCAAAGAAGAGAAACACAGAGGAGAGAAGAGAGGAGACACCAGAAGACGACGTGGAGTGTAAGGGGGAGGGGGGGACAACATGGAGATCGACAATCTGCTTTTGTTTTTCTCTCTTTTTTTGCCTTCGATGCGATCAATCACTCAAATCAATCGACATCGTAAAGTCCTCCTTCCTCCCATCCCGTGCCTTCCTCCTCCACCTCTGCACTCCTCCTTGCCACGTGTTTCTCCCGCAAGCCGTCAGACGTCCCCAGATTACTCCTCCGTTGAGCTGCTGAAGACAGCAACCACGTGTCTTCTCCTCCTCCTTCGGGTCCGACGCCCGTTCCTTCATCTCCATTACTCCCTCCGGCAGAAGAACCACCAGCGTCCTTGCCATTCTCAACGGCATCTTCCCACCTTCTCCCTCTCCCAAACTCCTCCTCCTCCTCCTCCTCCTCCTCCTCCTCCACCACCCTATGTACAAGGTTGTTCCGCTCCGACAACAGAAAGTCATTGATCCCTTCCACAATCCATACCTTCTCTATCTCGCTAAGTCCACTTCCAAAACGATGCCTCCTCACTCCCTCCATGAGCTCACACGCAGTCATGGGCTCCCCGTTCTGCTCATACTCTACGACCACTCTGGCCGTGACTACGTCCTCCCATCGCCCATGGACAGCGTCTTCCCAAAGGCCATCGGCTATGTTCCACGAGATGGAGAAGGCGCCCCCCGCCACAATCCTCAAGCGCGTCCTGGTCATCGTTGACATCAACGCAAGGCGCGCCAAATGGACACCAACTCCCCAGAAGGGCAAGGAGAAGAGGGGGAACAAAAGCGGGGCGCCGGCGGCGATAGCGCTCCCTGTCCAGAAGGCCGTGAAAGCGTTCCAGGCCACGGCAAAGAGTGCCGTCCCGATCGCGTCGGATGTGAAACCGAGCGGCGGGATCTCCAAGACCAGCTCGCGACCGGTCGCTGACATGGACACCTTGGACCCCGCGGGGGGTCTCCGCCGAAGAAACAGTCTTCCCCTAACCGCCGTCGCCACCGCCCTACCACCACGTGGTGGCACAACGACAGCTCCACCCGCCGCCGCGCGTTTCCTTTCCCCCCGTAACGCCGAGATCACGTCTTGTGCGCTCTGGAAGCGATCCTCCGGCGCGGGCTCCAGCAACTTGTCCAGCACGTCCGCCAGGTACCCGCTCATCTGCGCCCGGTCGCGGAACTGAATCTTCAGCCGCCTCTGCGGGAACTCCGATGGCTGTCGGCCGGTCAACAGGTACAGCATCGTCCCGCCCAAAGCATACAGGTCAGACTGACTGACAGATCTGTTTTGAAACTGCTCAGGAGCCATGTAGCCGTACGTCCCGACGACCGTACTGGCCAGGAAGGTTGACCCCATCGCCGCCACATCTTGGACCGCGCCGAAGTCCACTACCTTGACATGCCCGGTCCAAGTCTCTTCCAACATGCCGCTCTTCACATCCACGATGATGTTCGACGGCTTGATGTCGCGATGAACGACCGGCGGTCGCCGACTCTCCAGATAAGACAAAACGAGAAGCACCTCCACAGCGATATCCACCACTTCATCCTCAGAAAACCGAAACCCTAGCGTGGAGACCAACTCCTGCAGCGAGTGGCCGTAAGCGATCTTCTGAACGAGATAGAACGACCGGTCGGCGGCCGAATCCACCTCGAAGTAGTCCAGGTACTCCGGGATAGCAGGATGACTCAGCGACCGCAGCACTCGCGCCTCTCTCTCGAACAGCTCCAGGTCTTTCCATCCCGACATCGACCTTAACGACAGGACCTTCACAGCCACCCGATCCCCATCACGTGTCTCCGCCTCGTACATGTTTCCCCGGCCCCCGCCCCCTCCCTCTCCCAACAATCCTTTGATCACATACTCCCCTTCTTTGAGCGAGTCCCCGCACCCATGACGTCGATTTCCAATCGCTCCGTTAGCCCTCATTTCCTGCTGTGAGGGCGCCATCCGTGCGGTCGCCTCCCCGGCCGCCTCCCCGGCCGCCTCCCCCCCCGACGCCTCTGCTGAGCTGTCTTCCGGTTGCAGCTGTCGCAGGGGGCCGTCCAACGATCCTCTGGTTGACGTCAACGCTTCCACGGAGCCGGTCGTTGACGTCATCGAAGTCGACGTACTAAACCGAGTACCACCTCCGCGATCGCTGGCTTGTTCGTCTTCTTCTTTACTTGCACCGTGATCCCCCGGACGACCGGTCGCAGCCGCGACGACCGACAAAGCCACCGACTTCTTAGGGTGATTGGTCCCGACCGACCTTTCAGGAAAGCCACGAGCAGACTGACCACTACAAGAAAGATGATGGCTGTGCTGGCGATCGCAACAAGAGATTGGATGACGATGATGATGATGATGATGATGATGATGTTGATGATGATGATGATGGTGATGATGTGATCCGATCTCGTATCGTCCTCGTCCTTCGAGTGTTATCTTATGACAGGTGGCGTTTGCACTGAGGAGCTGTGACATGCAACTGCCTACTCTCTCTTCTCGAATCGAGCTCAAGGTCGCAAACCTTCGGCGCCGTGGACCATACCAACAACCCCTTCGAATCCGGAAGCAAGATCTGCGCGATTGCTGCGTGTAGATAGAGCCACGTGTTGGAATCTCGTCTGCATCTCTTTGGCGCGCAGCGAGACTGGCCGATGATATTGCAGCCGACCTCACGGTTGACTCACAGGCCTGAACCATATCCACTCATTCCAGATTTCCGCCCCCCCTTCCTCGAGCAGCCAGCTCCCCTTACGTACTCATAAATTTCGGACCCGAACCAGTTGTCGATGCGCAAGACCGGCGGGGTTTCTCCATCAACCTGTACACATATAACAAAGAGAGAGTAACCACTAGATTAGATGGGCGCGGG